ACTTCCTATGGGCGACCTCGCTATGCCTATGGAAAAAACATGTACAATTGGTCAAAACGAGCGCCTGCAACTGGTCGATTATTACGCATTTACCTGAACTAAAGTCCGTGGCAACCAATTTGGAAAATAATAACCCTGTGACTCGAGAAATGCCGATAAATTTCTCCAAATACGTGAAATTTTCGAGACACTCATAGAGAACTGTCGAAATTGTTATATTTCGGGTGAGTCCCCTACAAAATACGAGATGCTCGTGGGCCGATGTCCTTCCTGTGCCTACAAGAAAACTAAACCGAATAAGTATGGACTGATGATGCAAAGACTCACCACTACCTGCTCAATGCTTTCGTCTATACGAACAGAAATATCACAGCAGATGACTGGTTCACGTCAGTAGAATTACATGTAGAATTGCGCATCAACCAACTGACCTATGTCGGCAGGAAGCGTAAAAATAAGTAACAAGTACCCCAACATGTAGTTCCAAATAAGAAGGAAACACAGCCAGGTACTTCTAAGTTTATGTACAGCCTTAGAGTAGTATCTTCCAAAACCAAATACACATGTTCTCGTATAGCAATCTATGCAGCATGATAACAAAATAGTAGAGGAATCAAAGAAACCTGATAAGATCCTATATTATTTTTATAACACTATGAAGGCGGGGGGTAATGCATTAGATCGGAAGTGTGTAAATTACAATACTGGTTAGAGAACGAGAAGATGGCCTTGTGCTATTTGGTATCCAACCAGCTTCTGTAAATTCCTTTTTTTTTCAGTCTGGGACTGAAAGTTCCATTAGGCGACGAAATTTTATTGTTCCCCTGAGGCAAACTCTAATTTAACTTCGTATGAGAGGACGTTTATCAGATCCAAGACTTCCTAGGGAGCTTCGTTCAGCCATGCAAAGAATCCTAAATTACCAACGACGAATAAAGTAAGCCGTCTACTTCTCAGCCCAGAGTTCTCTATCCTGATGCAGTTGTTAAAGAAAAAAACGACGTAGGTGTTACATGACAATACACAATGAAAAAAATGTTCTACAATCTGTAATAAGTATGTAAAGTCACAGCGCACTTACATTGTTTCGTGAAAAGTGATAAATGTTAATTATTGTATGTTTCCTTATACGAGAAAGTATTTGTTTTTGTTGTAGAATATCAACACCAAATATGTTGTTAAATGGCCCATTTGTTAGTTTTTTTATGTTCATATTACAGTTCAAGTTTCGAGGATTATATTTATTGCATTACTCATCTTCAATGGGTATTTTCGTTTTTAGACAATAAACAGTTTTCATGTAAGAGTGTCTTATGCGTACAAACCTGTTGTACACATGGCTAAAAACAGTAATGGCATTTCAGATGTTGATAGTAAGATCCGGTGGATAACCTGTTTGCGAGATTAGACGTGGGGATTTCCAACACGAACACCATCTGTTTATTTGAAGCATTAAAAACTGTATAATCAACAATTTCAGTTTTCCATTGACAATAATGAAGAATTATGAAGGCGATTCATGTAAGGCACTGGGTAACTTCGCGTTGCTTTTAGAAGAGTATTGTCTGAATAGACAACAGTAACCTTGTGATTCTTCACCGAGCTGCATTTTCAAGTTGAAAAATCGGGGTGCTGAAAGTGATGGATCTATAGATTTGTGAGAATTTGCTGCTGCTTCAACTTCTTTTTGTAATAACAATAACAGTCTATATGAAATTTAACAATTCTGTTTCTTCTTTGATTTTGAGTCACCCTGTAATGTAGCTCTACTAAACTATCGGACCGCATCATAGCCTACAAGAGAAAAAATCTTCTATACTGGAAAGGAGGAAAAAAAGAATGTATCAACCTGATACATCTGCCCCTCTTTATAACCCGTGAAATAGCCCTAGTTCTAATTAAATTCAGTCAAGCTTCCAAAATGACTTCCAACAATATTAAAGTAGCCACAAAGATCAGACCAATGATCCACCGCGAAGTAGCCGATGGTCTAGAGCGTCTTTGGAACGTAAGAGTTAAACTGCATATGGGAAGCCGATGAAAGTAGTCGCCATGGAGAGGTTTATATATTCGACCATGTATTTAATCAGGAATGTACAAATTCAGATGTATATGGATCTGTAGTAAACCTTTAGTCGATTCCTTCATGGAAGGTTTCAATGCCACAATATTTGCATATGGCCAAACATCTTCTGGCAAAACACACACCATTTTGGGCATAAAACGGATCCTGGGCTTTTCCAATTAGTATCCAATCAGTTATTCCAGCATGTGGCAGACAGGTTGATAAGAGGTACTTGATTAGATGCAGTTATATTGAAATCTACAATGAAAAGATCAATGACCTCCCTGGATAAGAGCAATCAGGGTTTAACTATGAGAAGATATCAAAGGAAATGTGCTGCTTGATGCAAGGGAAGCTGTCGTAGACAATGTTGATAAAGTTATGGAGAACATGATGCAGGGCAATAAGATCAGACGAGTTGCAGCTACTCGCATGAATGAGAGGTCATCTCGATCACACACGATTTTCCGGATTATTCTGGAGTCGAAAGATGCCAATCAGAAAGATGGACCTGTACATATAAGCTACCTTAACTTAATGGACTTAGCTGGTTCTGAGAGAGTTTCCTGACGAAAGCTGCTGGTGAGCGTCTTAAAGAGGGGGCTAACATAAACAAATCTTTGTCAGTATTAGGAAATGTGATAAGGCAACTAAGCGAGGGGAAGGAGTTTATCAGTTATCGCGATTCGAAATTGACTAGACTGCTCTCACAGGCTCTTGGCGGTAATGCCAAATTCATTGATTATCGGGAATGTTACTTTAGCTGCAGAGGAGGAGACTAGATCTACACCAGAATTCGCCCAAAGCACTAAAACTGTCAAAAATAAAACGAAAGTAAACATCTTGTCAGCTACAGAAGAGACACTTCAAGGATATCAGAACTTGACTCGCGATCTCGAAACTCGGCTCAAAAAGCAGGCAATTAAGCTAAAAGAGATGGATAAAAGCAAACAAGAGTATCTGCTCGAGATAGAAAGACTAAAAACGGAAGTATCTATTGTCGGGCGCTTTCAAATGGGAGCCTCGGCATCAACACCGAAAAAAACATTAAGACGTCATACTTTTGGACACTATGGCAACGTATCACCTAAAAAGCATCCCTAGGGTATATGCCATTGAAAAATTATCCACCCAAAGAAGAATCATCCGGACGTGAAATGAGGCCTATTCAAGAAGAGACATATGAGGAGGCACTAGCCGAAGCAGAATCTGTGATAGCTGAAGACGTGCAAGTGTACTTAAAAGACAACTCAAAGAACTGAAGAATCTTTCAATGAGCTCATAGAATTCACTAAACTAGATAATCAGCTGGAGATTTTGGACCTGAAGAAAACAGCTCACAGAAGCCAATTCTAAATTCGATCGTTACAGTCAGGAACTCCGCCAAGTAACGGATGCGTACAACGAAGAAATAGAAAGAGTTCAAAAAAATTCTCAAAAAGCGCAAGAATTTCATCGACTTTGCAATACAGACTCGATTTTCTGGAAAAAATAATAAAAAGGACTAAAAACATACGAGTCAGAAATAGAGATGCTGCGTACTCAACTGAAGAACCTAGGAGATCAGAGAGCCCTAAACCATCTCTTGAAGCTCAAAATATTGAGTCAAAAAGAAGGTTGCAGACTTAGAAGCTATGCTTGACGCTGAGTACGAAGATACGCAACATTCTTTAAGTGCTGCTGCACAAACTGATATAACGATGTCACACATTGCTGAACTGCAAGATGAAATTGGCTTCCTAAAAGAACTTGAATCTAAACTGAGAAATGACCGTAAAGAGTCTGATGGACGAGAGTAACCAACGTGAGGTCAACCACTCATTTAAAATCTCAGATATACGATGCCATAATGATTCTACTATAAAGAGCTTCAGGATCAAATGGCTGAACTGGAATGCCAAAACGAAATCTGGATTATGAAAAAGGACGACGAAATCAGAAAAAATTGCAACAACTAATTACAAACCCGAAGCAGGCTGGCACTTAACCAGAACCACCTGTGCAGAAGACGTTGCATTTTATAGGGAGCAAGTTGAGTTCTCCCAGAAATGTACAAAAATGAGATAATAGGTGGAGAGTTACGTATAAACCATAGAGAAAATCTTCAGCAGTTAACTAGAAATATGTCTACCCCTTGTTTAGTGTTTACGATTATTGCAGGGTTTGGACAAAGTTTAGGGCTGATCCCAGTGCTCACAGTGTACAATTTTCAGCTAATAAATCTTGAATTCTGATGTAACAAACTCAACTAGAACTCTGAAAAAAGTGATTTATCAGAAATCATGCCCTTACTTCCATGATAAGAGGGATTCGTAAAAATTATAAGCAGGTTGTGGCTTATTATCTAGTAAAAGATACAAGAATCCCAGATCTGAAAACGATTATTGTTCATGTGATCACAAAACTAGCAGCGACTTGGTTTGTGCGTTGTTGGCACTATTTCTAATCAGGGCGCAACGATCAAAAACGCACTTGAGACGATTTGCTCGGAGAATACTCACGGATCAAGTCCATTCCATTTTATAGTCAATGCTCAGAGTATTTCTACAATTTGTGATGAACCACATTTATTCAAAAATGGATGAAATGCTCTTATTGACATTAATATGAAAGTGAAGAAGCTGCACAGATTGAACATGTCATATAATGTTGATCAGCAAACAAGACCATACAAAGAGCTATGTAAATTGAAACCCAGCCACTTTGATTTTATAGATTCGTTCAAGAATATAGAAATTAATCCTTTAATGATATCGTCGGATGATTCGAGCTTTCTCAGTTATGTGGTGGGGTCCCGTGACTTCTCATACGGTATGAGCACGTATACCTCAAACCACAGTTTAATTTAAACATCACAATTGTTGGTTTGTTGACTTTGCGGTCAAATTTGATCCGAGGATGTCAGTTGCGTGTACGATTTGAACTTCCTTCACAATGGATTTTTTCGTTGTTGACGGTATGAACAATACACTATAGGACTACGCCGAGGACGACGCTGCTATCGATCAACCTGAACAACTTCCTATGGGCGACCTCGCTATGCCTATGGAAAAAACATGTACAATTGGTCAAAACGAGCGCCTGCAACTGGTCGATTATTACGCATTTACCTGAACTAAAGTCCGTGGCAACCAATTTGGAAAATAATAACCCTGTGACTCGAGAAATGCCGATAAATTTCTCCAAATACGTGAAATTTTCGAGACACTCATAGAGAACTGTCGAAATTGTTATATTTCGGGTGAGTCCCCTACAAAATACGAGATGCTCGTGGGCCGATGTCCTTCCTGTGCCTACAAGAAAACTAAACCGAATAAGTATGGACTGATGATGCAAAGACTCACCACTACCTGCTCAATGCTTTCGTCTATACGAACAGAAATATCACAGCAGATGACTGGTTCACGTCAGTAGAATTACATGTAGAATTGCGCATCAACCAACTGACCTATGTCGGCAGGAAGCGTAAAAATAAGTAACAAGTACCCCAACATGTAGTTCCAAATAAGAAGGAAACACAGCCAGGTACTTCTAAGTTTATGTTGTACAGCCTTAGAGTAGTATCTTCCAAAACCAAATACACATGTTCTCGTATAGCAATCTATGCAGCATGATAACAAAATAGTAGAGGAATCAAAGAAACCTGATAAGATCCTATATTATTTTTATAACACTATGAAGGCGGGGGGTAATGCATTAGATCGGAAGTGTGTAAATTACAATACTGGTTAGAGAACGAGAAGATGGCCTTGTGCTATTTGGTATCCAACCAGCTTCTGTAAATTCCTTTTTTTTTCAGTCTGGGACTGAAAGTTCCATTAGGCGACGAAATTTTATTGTTCCCCTGAGGCAAACTCTAATTTAACTTCGTATGAGAGGACGTTTATCAGATCCAAGACTTCCTAGGGAGCTTCGTTCAGCCATGCAAAGAATCCTAAATTACCAACGACGAATAAAGTAAGCCGTCTACTTCTCAGCCCAGAGTTCTCGATCCTGATGCAGTTGTTAAAGAAAAAAAACGACGTAGGTGTTACATGACAATACACAATGAAAAAATATTCTACAATCTGTAATAAGTATGTAAAGTCACAGCGCACTTACATTGTTTCGTGAAAAGTGATAAATGTTAATTATTGTATGTTTCCTTATACGAGAAAGTATTTGTTTTTGTTGTAGAATATCAACACCAAATATGTTGTTAAATGGCCCATTTTGTTAGTTTTTTTATGTTCATATTACAGTTCAAGTTTCGAGGATTATATTTATTGCATTACTCATCTTCAATGGGGTATTTTCGTTTTTAGACAATAAACAGTTTTCATGTAAGAGTGTCTTATGCGTACAAACCTGTTGTACACATGGCTAAAAACAGTAATGGCATTTCAGATGTTGATAGTAAGATCCGGTGGATAACCTGTTTTGCGAGATTAGACGTGGGATTTCCAACACGAACACCATCTGTTTATTTGAAGCATTAAAAACTGTAATAATCAACAATTTCAGTTTTCCATTGACAATAATGAAGAATTATGAAGGCGATTCATGTAAGGCACTAGGTAACTTCGCGTTGCTTTTAGAAGAGTATTGTCTGAATAGACAACAGTTACCTTGTGATTCTTCACCGAGCTGCATTTTTCAAGTTGAAAAATCGGGTGCTGAAAGTGATGGATCTATAGATTTGTGAGAATTTGCTGCTGCTTCAACTTCTTTTGTAATAACAATAACAGTCTATATGAAATTTAACAATTCTGTTTCTTCTTTGATTTTGAGTCACCCTGTAAATGTAGCTCTACTAAACTATCGGACCGCATTCATAGCCTACAAGAGAAAAAAATCTTCTATACTGGAAAGGAGGAAAAAAAGAATGTATCAACCTGATACATCTGCCCCTCTTTATAACCCGTGAAATAGCCCTAGTTCTAATTAAATTTCAGTTCAAGCTTCCAAAATGACTTCCAACAATATTAAAGTAGCCACAAAGATCAGACCAATGATCCACCGCGAAGTAGCCGATGGTCTAGAGCGTCTTTGGAACGTAAGAGTAAACTGCATATGGGAAGCCGATGAAAGTAGTCGCCATGGAGAGGTTTATATATTCGACCATGTATTTAATCAGGAATGTACAAATTCAGATGTATATGGATCTGTAGTAAAACCTTTAGTCGATTCCTTCATGGAAGGTTTCAATGCCACAATATTTGCATATGGCCAAACATCTTCTGGCAAAACACACACCATTTTGGGCAATAAAACAGATCCTGGGCTTTTCCAATTAGTATCCAATCAGTTATTCCAGCATGTGGCAGACCAGGTTGATAAGAGGTACTTGATTAGATGCAGTTATATTGAAATCTACAATGAAAAGATCAATGACCTCCTGGATAAGAGCAATCAGGGTTTAACTATGAGAAGATATCAAAGGAAATGTGCTGCTTGATGCAAGGGAAGCTGTCGTAGACAATGTTGATAAAGTTATGGAGAACATGATGCAGGGCAATAAGATCAGACGAGTTGCAGCTACTCGCATGAATGAGAGGTCATCTCGATCACACACGATTTTCCGGATTATTCTGGAGTCGAAAGATGCCAATCAGAAGATGGACCTGTACATATAAGCTACCTTAACTTAATGGACTTAGCTGGTTCTGAGAGAGTTTCTCTGACGAAAGCTGCTGGTGAGCGTCTTAAAGAGGGGGCTAACATAAACAAATCTTTGTCAGTATTAGGAAATGTGATAAGGCAACTAAGCGAGGGGAAGGAGTTTATCAGTTATCGCGATTCGAAATTGACTAGACTGCTCTCACAGGCTCTTGGCGGTAATGCCAAATCATTGATTATCGGGAATGTTACTTTAGCTGCAGAGGAGGAGACTAGATCTACACCAGAATTCGCCCAAAGCACTAAAACTGTCAAAAATAAAACGAAAGTAAACATCTTGTCAGCTACAGAAGAGACACTTCAAGGATATCAGAACTTGACTCGCGATCTCGAAACTCGGCTCAAAAAGCAGGCAATTAAGCTAAAAGAGATGGATAAAAGCAAACAAGAGTATCTGCTCGAGATAGAAAGACTAAAAACGGAAGTATCTATTGTCGGGCGCTTTCAAATGGGAGCCTCGGCATCAACACCGAAAAAAACATTAAGACGTCATACTTTTGGACACTATGGCAACGTATCACCTAAAAAAGCATCCCTAGGGTATATGCCATTGAAAAATTATCCACCCAAAGAAGAATCATCCGGACGTGAAATGAGGCCTATTCAAGAAGAGACATATGAGGAGGCACTAGCCGAAGCAGAATCTGTGATAGCTGAAGACGTGCAAGTGTACTTAAAAGACAACGCAAAGAACTGGAAGAATCTTTCAATGAGCTTAGAGAATTCACTAAACTAGATAATCAGCTGGAGATTTTGGACCTGAAGAAACAGCTCACAGAAGCCAATTCTAAAATCGATCGTTACAGTCAGGAACTCCGCCAAGTAACGGATGCGTACAACGAAGAAATAGAAGAAGTTCAAAAAAATTCTCAAAAAGCGCAAGAATTTCATCGACTGCAATACAGACTCGATTTTCTGGAAAAAAATAATAAAAAGACTAAAAACATACGAGTCAGAAATAGAGATGCTGCGTACTCAACTGAAGAACCTAGGAAGATCAGAGAGCCCTAAACCATCTCTTGAAGCTCAAAATATTGAGTCAAAAAGAAGGTTGCAGACTTAGAAGCTATGCTTGACGCTGAGTACGAAGATATGCAAGATTCTTTAAGTGCTGCTACACAAACTGATGTAACGATGTCACACATTGCTGAACTGCAAGATTGAAATTGGCTTCCTAAAAGAACTTGAATCTAAACTGAGAAATGACGTAAAGAGTCTGATGGACGAGAGTAACCAACGTGAGGTCAACCACTCATTTAAAATCTCAGATATACGATGCCATAATGATTCTACTATAAAAGAGCTTCAGGATCAAATGGCTGAACTGGAATGCCAAAACGAAATCTGGATTATGAAAAGTGCCCCTCTTTATAACCCGTGAAATAGCCCTAGTTCTAATTAAATTTCAGTTCAAGCTTCCAAAATGACTTCCGACAATATTAAAGTAGCCACAAAGATCAGACCAATGATCCACGCGAAGTAGCCGATGGTCTAGAGCGTCTTTGGAACGTAAGAGTAAACTGCATATGGGAAGCCGATGAAAGTAGTCGCCATGGAGAGGTTTATATATTCGACCATGTATTTAAGCAGGAATGTACAAATTCAGATGTATATGGATCTGTAGTAAAACCTTTAGTCGATTCCTTCATGGAAGGTTTCAATGCCACAATATTTGCATATGGCCAAACATCTTCTGGCAAAACACACACCATTTGGGCAATAAAACAGATCCTGGGCTTTTCCAATTAGTATCCAATCAGTTATTCCAGCATGTGGCAGACCAGGTTGATAAGAGGTACTTGATTAGATGCAGTTATATTGAAATCTACAATGAAAAGATCAATGACCTCCTGGATAAGAGCAATCAGGGTTTAACTATAAGAGAAGATATCAAAGGAAATGTGCTGCTTGATGCAAGGGAAGCTGTCGTAGACAATGTTGATAAAGTTATGGAGAACATGATGCAGGGCAATAAGATCAGACGAGTTGCAGCTACTCGCATGAATGAGAGGTCATCTCGATCACACACGATTTTCCGGATTATTCTGGAGTCGAAAGATGCCAATCAGAAAGATGGACCTGTACATATAAGCTACCTTAACTTAATGGACTTAGCTGGTTCTGAGAGAGTTTCTCTGACGAAAGCTGCTGGTGAGCGTCTTAAAGAGGGGGCTAACATAAACAAATCTTTGTCAGTATTAGGAAATGTGATAAGGCAACTAAGCGAGGGGAAGGAGTTTATCAGTTATCGCGATTCGAAATTGACTAGACTGCTCTCACAGGCTCTTGGCGGTAATGCCAAATCGTTGATTATCGGGAATGTTACTTTAGCTGCAGAGGAGGAGACTAGATCTACACCAGAATTCGCCCAAAGCACTAAACTGTCAAAAATAAAACGAAAGTAAACATCTTGTCAGCTACAGAAGAGACACTTCAAGGATATCAGAACTTGACTCGCGATCTCGAAACTCGGCTCAAAAATCAGGCAATTAAGCTAAAAGAGATGGATAAAAGCAAACAAGAGTATCTGCTCGAGATAGAAAGACTAAAAACGGAAGTATCTATTGTCGGGCGCTTTCAAATGGGAGCCTCGGCATCAACACCGAAAAAAACATTAAGACGTCATACTTTTGGACACTATGGCAACGTATCACCTAAAAAAGCATCCCTAGGGTATATGCCATTGAAAAATTATCCACCCAAAGAAGAATCATCCGGACGTGAAATGAGGCCTATTCAAGAAGAGACATATGAGGAGGCACTAGCCGAAGCAGAATCTGTGATAGCTGAAGACGTGCAAGTGTACTTAAAAGACAACGCAAAGAACTGGAAGAATCTTTCAATGAGCTTAGAGAATTCACTAAACTAGATAATCAGCTGGAGATTTTGGACCTGAAGAAACAGCTCACAGAAGCCAATTCTAAAATCGATCGTTACAGTCAGGAACTCCGCCAAGTAACGGATGCGTACAACGAAGAAATAGAAAGAGTTCAAAAAAATTCTCAAAAAGCGCAAGAATTTCATCGACTTGCAATACAGGACTCGATTTTCTGGAAAAAAATTATAAAAAGACTAAAAACATACGAGTCAGAAATAGAGATGCTGCGTACTCAACTGAAGAACCTAGGAAGATCAGAGAGCCCTAAACCATCTCTTGAAGCTCAAAATATTGAGTCAAAAAAGAAGGTTGCAGACTTAGAAGCTATGCTTGACGCTGAGTACGAAGATATGCAAGATTCTTTAAGTGCTGCTACACAAACTGATGTAACGATGTCACACATTGCTGAACTGCAAGATGAAATTGGCTTCCTAAAAGAACTTGAATCTAAACTGAGAAATGACGTAAAGAGTCTGATGGACGAGAGTAACCAACGTGAGGTCAACCACTCATTTAAAATCTCAGATATACGATGCCATATTGATTCTACTATAAAAGAGCTTCAGGATCAAATGGCTGAACTGGAATGCCAAAACGAAATCTGGATTATGAAAAGTGCCCCTCTTTATAACCCGTGAAATAGCCCTAGTTCTAATTAAATTTCAGTTCAAGCTTCCAAAATGACTTCCGACAATATTAAAGTAGCCACAAAGATCAGACCAATGATCACCGCGAAGTAGCCGATGGTCTAGAGCGTCTTTGGAACGTAAGAGTAAACTGCATATGGGAAGCCTATGAAAGTACTCGCCATGGAGAGGTTTATATATACGACCATGTATTTAAGCAGGAATGTACAAATTCAGATGTATATGGATCTGTAGTAAAACCTTTAGTCGATTCCTTCATGGAAGGTTTCAATGCCACAATATTTGCATATGGCCAAACATCTTCTGGCAAAACACACACCATTTTGGGCAATAAAACAGATCCTGGGCTTTTCCAATTAGTATCCAATCAGTTATTCCAGCATGTGGCAGACCAGGTTGATAAGAGGTACTTGATTAGATGCAGTTATATTGAAATCTACAATGAAAAGATCAATGACCTCCTGGATAAGAGCAATCAGGGTTTAACTATAAGAGAAGATATCAAAGGAAATGTGCTGCTTGATGCAAGGGAAGCTGTCGTAGACAATGTTGATAAAGTTATGGAGAACATGATGCAGGGCAATAAGATCAGACGAGTTGCAGCTACTCGCATGAATGAGAGGTCATCTCGATCACACACGATTTTCCGGATTATTCTGGAGTCGAAAGATGCCAATCAGAAAGATGGACCTGTACATATAAGCTACCTTAACTTAATGGACTTAGCTGGTTCTGAGAGAGTTTCTCTGACGAAAGCTGCTGGTGAGCGTCTTAAAGAGGGGGCTAACATAAACAAATCTTTGTCAGTATTAGGAAATGTGATAAGGCAACTAAGCGAGGGGAAGGAGTTTATCAGTTATCGCGATTCGAAATTGACTAGACTGCTCTCACAGGCTCTTGGCGGTAATGCCAAATCATTGATTATCGGGAATGTTACTTTAGCTGCAGAGGAGGAGACTAGATCTACACCAGAATTCGCCCAAAGCACTAAAACTGTCAAAAATAAAACGAAAGTAAACATCTTGTCAGCTACAGAAGAGACACTTCAAGGATATCAGAACTTGACTCGCGATCTCGAAACTCGGCTCAAAAAGCAGGCAATTAAGCTAAAAGAGATGGATAAAAGCAAACAAGAGTATCTGCTCGAGATAGAAAGACTAAAAACGGAAGTATCTATTGTCGGGCGCTTTCAAATGGGAGCCTCGGCATCAACACCGAAAAAAACATTAAGACGTCATACTTTTGGACACTATGGCAACGTATCACCTAAAAAGCATCCCTAGGGTATATGCCATTGAAAAATTATCCACCCAAAGAAGAATCATCCGGACGTGAAATGAGGCCTATTCAAGAAGAGACATATGAGGAGGCACTAGCCGAAGCAGAATCTGTGATAGCTGAAGACGTGCAAGTGTACTTAAAAGACAACTCAAAGAACTGGAAGAATCTTTCAATGAGCTTAGAGAATTCACTAAACTAGATAATCAGCTGGAGATTTTGGACCTGAAGAAACAGCTCACAGAAGCCAATTCTAAATTCGATCGTTACAGTCAGGAACTCCGCCAAGTAACGGATGCGTACAACGAAGAAATAGAAAGAGTTCAAAAAAATTCTCAAAAAGCGCAAGAATTTCATCGACTTGCAATACAGACTCGATTTTCTGGAAAAAAATAATAAAAAGACTAAAAACATACGAGTCAGAAATAGAGATGCTGCGTACTCAACTGAAGAACCTAGGAAGATCAGAGAGCCCTAAACCATCTCTTGAAGCTCAAAATATTGAGTCAAAAAAGAAGGTTGCAGACTTAGAAGCTATGCTTGACGCTGAGTACGAAGATATGCAACATTCTTTAAGTGCTGCTGCACAAACTGATGTAACGATGTCACACATTGCTGAACTGCAAGATGAAATTGGCTTCCTAAAAGAACTTGAATCTAAACTGAGAAATGACGTAAAGAGTCTGATGGACGAGAGTAACCAACGTGAGGTCAACCACTCATTTAAAATCTCAGATATACGATGCCATAATGATTCTACTATAAAAGAGCTTCAGGATCAAATGGCTGAACTGGAATGCCAAAACGAAATCTGGATTATGAAAAAGGACGACGAAATCAGAAAATTGCAACAACTAATTACAAACCCGAAGCAGGCTGGCACTTAACCAGAACCACCTGTGCAGGAAGACGTTGCATTTTATAGGGAGCAAGTTGAGTTCTCCCAGAACATGTACAAAAATGAGATAATAGGTGGAGAGTTACGTATAAACCATAGAGAAAATCTTCAGGCAGTTAAACTAGAAATATGTCTACCCTTGTTTAGTGTTTACGATTATTGCAGGGTTTGGACAAAGTTTAGGGCTGATCCCAGTGCTCACAGTGTACAATTTTCAGCTAATAAATCTTGAATTCTGAGGGTAACAAAATCAACTAGAACTCTGAAAAAGTGATTTATCAGAAATCATGCCCTTACTTCCATGATAAGAGGGATTCGTAAAAATTATAAGCAGGTTGTGGCTTATTATCTAGTAAAAGATACAAGAATCCCAGATCTGAAAACGATTATTGTTCATGTGATCACAAACTAGCAGCGACTTGGTTTGTGCGTTGTTGGCACTATTTCTAATCAGGGCGCAACGATCAAAAACGCACTTGAGACGATTTGCTCGGAGAATACTCACGGATCAAGTCCATTCCATTTTATAGTCAATGCTCAGAGTATTTCTACAATTTGTGATGAACCACATTTATTCAAAAATGGATGAAATGCTCTTATTGACATTAATATGAAAGTGAAGAAGCTGCACAGATTGAACATGTCTAGAAATCATATAATGTTGATCAGCAAACAAGACCATACAAAGAGCTATGTAAATTGAAACCCAGCCACTTTGATTTTATAGATTCGTTCAAGAATATAGAAATTAATCCTTTAATGATATCGTCGGATGATTCGAGCTTTCTCAGTTATGTGGTGGGGGTCCCGTGACTTCTCATACGGTATGAGCACGTATACCTCAAACCACAGTTTAATTTAAACATCACAATTGTTGGTTTGTTGACTTTGCGGTCAAATTTGATCCGAGGATGTCAGTTGCGTGTACGATTTGAACTTCCTTCACAATGGATTTTTTCGTTGTTGACGGATGAACAATACACTATAGACTACGCCGAGGACGACGCTGCTATCGATCAACCTGAACAACTTCCTATGGGCGACCTCGCTATGCCTATGGAAAAAACATGTACAATTGGTCAAAACGAGCGCCTGCAACTGGTCGATTATTACGCATTTACCTGAACTAAAGTCCGTGGCAACCAATTTGGAAAATAATAACCCTGTGACTCGAGAAATGCCGATAAATTTCTCCAAATACGTGAAATTTTCGAGACACTCATAGAGAACTGTCGAAATTGTTATATTTCGGGTGAGTCCCCTACAAAATACGAGATGCTCGTGGGCCGATGTCCTTCCTGTGCCTACAAGAAAACTAAACCGAATAAGTATGGACTGATGATGCAAAGACTCACCACTACCTGCTCAATGCTTTCGTCTATACGAACAGAAATATCACAGCAGATGACTGGTTCACGTCAGTAGAATTACATGTAGAATTGCGCATCAACCAACTGACCTATGTCGGCAGGAAGCGTAAAAATAAGTAACAAGTACCCCAACATGTAGTTCCAAATAAGAAGGAAACACAGCCAGGTACTTCTAAGTTTATGTTGTACAGCCTTAGAGTAGTATCTTCCAAAACCAAATACACATGTTCTCGTATAGCAATCTATGCAGCATGATAACAAAATAGTAGAGGAATCAAAGAAACCTGATAAGATCCTATATTATTTTTATAACACTATGAAGGCGGGGGGTAATGCATTAGATCGGAAGTGTGTAAATTACAATACTGGTTAGAGAACGAGAAGATGGCCTTGTGCTATTTGGTATCCAACCAGCTTCTGTAAATTCCTTTTTTTTCAGTCTGGGACTGAAAGTTCCACTAGGCGACGAAATTTTATTGTTCCCCTGAGGCAAACTCTAATTTAACTTCGTATGAGAGGACGTTTATCAGATCCAAGACTTCCTAGGGAGCTTCGTTCAGCCATGCAAAGAATCCTAAATTACCAACGACGAATAAAGTAAGCCGTCTACTTCTCAGCCCAGAGTTCTCGATCCTGATGCAGTTGTTAAAGAAAAAAAACGACGTAGGTGTTACATGACAATACACAATGAAAAAAATATTCTACAATCTGTAATAAGTATGTAAAGTCACAGCGCACTTACATTGTTTCGTGAAAAGTGATAAATGTTAATTATTGTATGTTTCCTTATACGAGAAAGTATTTGTTTTTGTTGTAGAATATCAACACCAAATATGTTGTTAAATGGCCCATTTTGTTAGTTTTTTTATGTTCATATTACAGTTCAAGTTTCGAGGATTATATTTATTGCATTACTCATCTTCAATGGGGTATTTTCGTTTTAGACAATAAACAGTTTTCATGTAAGAGTGTCTTATGCGTACAAACCTGCTGTACACATGGCTAAAAACAGTAATGGCATTTCAGATGTTGATAGTAAGATCCGGTGGATAACCTGTTTTGCGAGATTAGACGTGGGATTTCCAACACGAACACCATCTGTTTATTTGAAGCATTAAAAACTGTAATAATCAACAATTTCAGTTTTCATTGACAATAATGAAGAATTATGAAGGCGATTCATGTAAGGCACTAGGTAACTTCGCGTTGCTTTTAGAAGAGTATTGTCTGAATAGACAACAGTTACCTTGTGATTCTTCACCGAGCTGCATTTTTCAAGTTGAAAAATCGGGTGCTGAAAGTGATGGATCTATAGATTTGTGAGAATTTGCTGCTGCTTCAACTTCTTTTGTAATAACAATAACAGTCTATATGAAATTTAACAATTCTGTTTCTTCTTTGATTTTGAGTCACCCTGTAAATGTAGCTCTACTAAACTATCGGACCGCATTCATAGCCTACAAGAGAAAAAAATCTTCTATACTGGAAAGGAGGAAAAAAAGAATGTATCAACCTGATACATCTGCCCCTCTTTATAACCCGTGAAATAGCCCTAGTTCTAATTAAATTTCAGTTCAAGCTTCCAAAATGACTTCCAACAATATTAAAGTAGCCACAAAGATCAGACCAATGATCCACCGCGAAGTAGCCGATGGTCTAGAGCGTCTTTGGAACGTAAGAGTAAACTGCATATGGGAAGCCGATGAAAGTAGTCGCCATGGAGAGGTTTATATATTCGACCATGTATTTAATCAGGAATGTACAAATTCAGATGTATATGGATCTGTAGTAAAACCTTTAGTCGATTCCTTCATGGAAGGTTTCAATGCCACAATATTTGCGTATGGCCAAACATCTTCTGGCAAAACACACACCATTTTGGGCAATAAAAACAGATCCTGGGCTTTTCCAATTAGTATCCAATCAGTTATTCCAGCATGTGGCAGACCAGGTTGATAAGAGGTACTTGATTAGATGCAGTTATATTGAAATCTACAATGAAAAGATCAATGACCTCCTGGATAAGAGCAATCAGGGTTAACTATGAGAAGATATCAAAGGAAATGTGCTGCTTGATGCAAGGGAAGCTGTCGTAGACAATGTTGATAAAGTTATGGAGAACATGATGCAGGGCAATAAGATCAGACGAGTTGCAGCTACTCGCATGAATGAGAGGTCATCTCGATCACACACGATTTTCCGGATTATTCTGGAGTCGAAAGATGCCAATCAGAAAGATGGACCTGTACATATAAGCTACCTTAACTTAATGGACTTAGCTGGTTCTGAGAGAGTTTCTCTGACGAAAGCTGCTGGTGAGCGTCTTAAAGAGGGGGCTAACATAAACAAATCTTTGTCAGTATTAGGAAATGTGATAAGGCAACTAAGCGAGGGAAGGAGTTTATCAGTTATCGCGATTCGAAATTGACTAGACTGCTCTCACAGGCTCTTGGCGGTAATGCCAAATCATTGATTATCGGGAATGTTACTTTAGCTGCAGAGGAGGAGACTAGATCTACACCAGAATTCGCCCAAAGCACTAAACTGTCAAAAATAAAACGAAAGTAAAATCTTGTCAGCTACAGAAGAGGACACTTCAAGGATATCAGAACTTGACTCGCGATCTCGAAACTCGGCTCAAAAGCAGGCAATTAAGCTAAAAGAGATGGATAAAAGCAAACAAGAGTATCTGCTCGAGATAGAAAGACTAAAAACGGAAGTATCTATTGTCGGGCGCTTTCAATGGGAGCCTCGGCATCAACACCGAAAAAAACATTAAGACGTCATACTTTTGGACACTATGGCAACGTATCACCTAAAAAAGCATCCCTAGGGTATATGCCATTGAAAAATTATCCACCCAAAGAAGAATCATCCGGACGTGAATGAGGCCTATTCAGAAGAAGAGACATATGAGGAGGCACTAGCCGAAGCAGAATCTGTGATAGCTGAAGACGTGCAAGTGTACTTAAAAGACAACGCAAAGAACTGGAAGAATCTTTCAATGAGCTTAGAGAATCACTAAACTAGATAATCAGCTGGAGATTTTGGACCTGAAGAAACAGCTCACAGAAGCCAATTCTAAAATCGATCGTTACAGTCAGGAACTCCGCCAAGTAACGGATGCGTACAACGAAGAAATAGAAAGAGTTCAAAAAAATTCTCAAAAAGCGCAAGAATTTCATCGACTTGCAATACAGACTCGATTTTCTTGGAAAAAAATAATAAAAAGACTAAAAACATACGAGTCAGAAATAGAGATGCTGCGTACTCAACTGAAGAACCTAGGAAGATCAGAGAGCCCTAAACCATCTCTTGAAGCTCAAAATATTGAGTCAAAAAAGAAGGTTGCAGACTTAGAAGCTATGCTTGACGCTGAGTACGAAGATATGCAAGATTCTTTAAGTGCTGCTACACAAACTGATGTAACGATGTCACACATTGCTGAACTGCAAGATGAAATTGGCTTCCTAAAAGAACTTGAATCTAAACTGAGAAATGACGTAAAGAGTCTGATGGACGAGAGTAACCAACGTGAGGTCAACCACTCATTTAAAATCTCAGATATACGATGCCATAATGATTCTACTATAAAAGAGCTTCAGGATCAAATGGCTGACTGGAATGCCAAAACGAAATCTGGATTATGAAAGTGCCCCTCTTTATAACCCGTGAATAGCCCTAGTTCTAATTAAATTTCAGTTCAAGCTTCCAAAATGACTTCCGACAATATTAAAGTAGCCACAAAGATCAGACCAATGATCCACCGCGAAGTAGCCGATGGTCTAGAGCGTCTTTGGAACGTAAGAGTAAACTGCATATGGGAAGCCGATGAAAGTAGTCGCCATGGAGAGGTTTATATATTCGACCATGTATTTAAGCAGGAATGTACAAATTCAGATGTATATGGATCTGTAGTAAAACCTTTAGTCGATTCCTTCATGGAAGGTTTCAATGCCACAATATTTGCATATGGCCAAACATCTTCTGGCAAAACACACACCATTTTGGGCAATAAAACAGATCCTGGGCTTTTCCAATTAGTATCCAATCAGTTATTCCAGCATGTGGCAGACCAGGTTGATAAGAGGTACTTGATTAGATGCAGTTATATTGAAATCTACAATGAAAAGATCAATGACCTCCTGGATAAGAGCAATCAGGGTTTAAACTATAAGAGAAGATATCA